TCCCATCCGCCACCTGATTAGGAAATAGTGCAGTGTCATTAATCATAGACATAATATCCATGATATCATTGCAAACAGTGAATTATGATTCTTCTCTCCTTAAGCTAATGTCAAATGAAAAACGGTGTTATCAAAGAATGTCCAATTCTAAGTTAGTGATGAAAATGTAAAAAAAACAACGTGAATGCATTCATTCTTGAAAAAATAAAGTGACTATTTTGAGTGACAGAGCCATGCATATTTATGAAAGCAATATGACAAATAGAGGGGAAAATACAAATGATGCTTGCATGGGAAAAGTACACTTGCCATAATTTAATACTTAAAAATTAAAATGAATTTCATGTAACATCTTCTCTTTTTAACCAAATATATAAAACTGTTGTTCTGGAGCATAGTAAAATTTCTTGAAAATCAAAACAAGGAAAACAAAAAAAAGCTGAATCATTTATTATAATTCAAATGCAAAACCCTAAACAGTTGGGGAACTCCAATCCATAAATCATAAAATACAAATTCTGAATCTCTAGTTTATACTCATAATCATAAAATGAAATAACCTAACAGCTCCAGCTACGCCTTCTTACTGTGATGCTTCCTGGCAGTGTTGCGAAAACCGAATCGGACATCAATCCGGATTAACAAGAGGTTCAAGGTTTATCGGATAATCTTTGATTAACGGGGATTAAAAACCGGTAACAACCTGGTGCTTTGCTCTAGATCAAAAGAAAGACCAACATATCAAGAATTGAAAAAGGTAAAAAAAAAATGAAAAAAATACGTTGTCGTAGGATATTAGAGACCATTTCTTATATTTCCATTGTCTTTATTTTTTATTTTTTAATTATTATGTAAATGAAATAGGCGACAGTTTTTTCCCCTAGAGCGCCCGCAATTATGCATCCGGGACCGGACTTGAGCTTGGATCCTGGCTTTTTCGGTCTGGCCCGGTTTTCAAAACACAGCTTCCTAGAACATCTTCATTAATGATGTTGTTGCTCGTTTGGCACAATCTCCTCTCGAGCTACTTCCCCTCTAACCCTTCCTCTACCTTATAGTGAGAAGGAGTCAGTCTACGCCGTTACTAAAACCTCAGAGCACTTAAGGTTTTCCCCTTAAATGTTCGCCTTACAGACTTGTGGAAGTCGTTTGTACTTCCACCTTTTAACATTAACACTTAAACATGTGGGAGTTGTTATTACTCGCCACCTCAAAAATCAAACATTACAATAAACTTAAACATCTGCATTTACTTTGCGGGAGTTGTTCTTACTCCCTTCCTTTAACATTATCCTTTAAAAGAATTGCGGGAGTTAGCATTTCTCTCCACCCTTAATCTCAAAACTAGAAACTCCTTAAACTATTACCCTCGTGTTTGTATCCCCGTCCTATGTCATAACCTCCTAGGACACACGTTTCGATTCGCCGTCCAGTAACCTCCTAGACAATGACTCGAATTTCGTTTCGTCATCCGGTATCATGCCCGATCAACTACTGCGTACCGTATCAACGTCCAGTAGTGATCCAACGACCCGAGGGTTTCCCTTCCTTACTAACACTCACTCATCATATACACTTCACATACATATCAACTTCACCTTCATTAGGCGGTGAAATACCTAAAAACTACACATCATATCACATGCCCTCACCTTCATTAGGCGGTGAGGTACCTCAAAGTCCTGTCCTCACCTTCAATATGTAGTGGGTTACCTCAACATATAACCATAGGCCTCATACATTATCAATTCTCCTAGTTCAAGTGTCTAGGAATGAAATCCTCAAACATGCATCTCAAGTAATTATAACTCGTAACTGAAAGTTGAAATCATAAAGTTTAAACTTAAAAACTCGGCGTAGAGTTTACCCTCTTTACACTCACCTTATTGATGAAGTGGACTAACTTGACCTTGACTTCAATTTGTCCAAATCAATATCCTGACCTTCATTCCATTCGTTTGCCACTGCACGTAACACTCTCCACATTACTGTACGTTTCATATATGACGAATCCATTCCCATGCACTAACCTTCATGCACTCAAGCCAAAGTTAGACCAATCTCCCTATATAAATCCCATGTTCCAACTAATTAGCTAACTCGTACTTCGCGAATGTGAAGCAAAGCCAGGCACTAGGCGCCCAATCCAATTTTAACGAACCCACCATTTTCTCCTATCAGCCCAATTCTATAATTAAGTGGACTAAGGTAATTTTACTTACCTTTGGCTCGAATCCCTACCTCTAGTAACCTTCAGAGGAATGCATACCATTGTACTCCTCCCTTTCTCACCGCAAGTAATCTGTCGTCGCCGCTTCCTCCTGTCATACTTCTGGTCCAAACAAAATTCCATAGAAATCCAGCCACCCATCTTTGTGTGTTGCCATCTGAACAACGCCTCCGATCCGCCCGAGAACCAATTCATGTTCCAATTAGATCATGACCCAATCGTCTACAGCTCGAGCTTGATCCGCCCAATCCCTTGGAGTTGGCTGCCGCTGGGAAGAAAGTGGGTCTTTGGGGGATTTTTTTTTTTTTGACCAAGTGGGTTAATTAGCTGCTACTTAAATGGCGTGTGCATGGGAGACCCATCGTTTCACGAATTTCATAATTACGGGTGAGTTTAATCCATAACTCATTTAACGTCCATAACATCCTTGTTATATGTCGAAACTCGACACCATTTGAACCGAGAGTTCACATTTTGAGTCCTCATCGCTATTACGGTGGAATTTGACGAATTTCACCAATGGCAAACTATTTATTTCTCCCACCGTTGGAAAATTTTCATCCCCGAAATTGAACTTGGATGAAACTGCTTTGGTCTGGATGTAACACTTCAGGAACCCAAAGGCTTGGGGGAGTTGTGAATGGAACAGTTACGACGGAGGAGAAAATCTGGAAATAGACCAGTAACCGCTACAAGATCGACAATGGCGGGGAAAAAGACAGAAACAAAAGAGAAGAAGATGACAAACATGAGGGCCACAATTGTGCACCGAAAACTTGTATTCGTGATTGTGACCAACGATATATAGTTTTGCGGTGAAGTGGAGCTTCACAATAGCCGATGCAAGCTATGTTAGATGTATGATGGTTTGTCACCGGTGAATTTTATCAGCTACAGGGAACTCGGCGAGGAACATCGACAAATGCTCGACGGCAACGAAGAACCCTTTTCAGCTTTAGTCGAAACTTGTTTTTCTCGTAGGGTTTGTAATTGAGTTCTTTAATTTCCGTGAGAGTGTTTATTTAGTTATTTTTTAATTAACAATAAGAGTCACCAATTAATACCTATAATAAATTGATTCATTAAAAAAAATGACCGATTCTCCTGCAAAAGCACCTCTACGCAGAAAAATGAGTTTGCTTTTCTAATTTTGATGCCCATTAATTACTATACACATGGCGGGGTTGGATTGGTGCACCACATCATCTAACTATCTGACCTACCTAGTGCAGGGAAAAGTTAATCTGCTAACTTGAAAATTCGTTAGCAGATACTAACTGATATCTAAAATACATGAATTAGTATCCAACTACTAAAGTATCTAGAGAGCGCATACTAGTATTCAAAGTTTGTTAACTGATATCCACCATGAATCAACTATTATCCCAAATTCACAAACTAATATCTAGACAACATAGAATAATATCCATACAACACATAATTAGTATCCAGATAACACATAAGAATATCTAAATAACACATAAGAGTATCCATATTGAATACTAGTTGATTGATTGTGGATATTAGTTTGTATCTGCTATTGGGATACTAGTTTGTCATGTTTTGAATACTAGTATGTGTTATCTAGATACTTAACAGACTTTGATATTAGTTCATGCATTTTGGATATTAGTTAGTATATACTAATAAATTTCAAGTTAGCAGAATAACTAGGTTGGTGCAGCCGGCTTACCTAAATTCTCCTCCCAATTATGTGTGGATAATGTTTATTATAGTTTCCATTCTATCTTTCGTGTGTATATAATTAATCACATCACCTTTATGAAAAAAATAATTTTGATGTATGAATCGAATGATCAAATTATAATTTTGTGGTCATCGGAATTTGAAGGACCAAATATTTGGGATTTTCTAGTAAAAAGCAAGAAAGGTTGATTTAAATTCCCCCGAAAATTCCGACCAAAAAAAAATCGCAATAATCATTGATACGTTTTTCTCTCTCTTTCTTTTCTCTCTCTTTCTCCGACGATCTAGGGTTCGCGTTTGGTTCTGGATGGTGGCCTCGCCGTCGGGCTCGTCGCCGACTGGCGAGGGTGTCACTTGGGCGCAGCTTTTCGAGGTAGCCCCTGAGAATAGGCTCCATTTCCATCCTCCTGAGAAGGTGAAGGATGGGTTCAGAATTCCGAAGGAGGTGAAAGAGAAAGGTGCGGAGCGGTGGAAGGATTCGTTGATTGGTCAATTTGTGGGCGGTCGCCCTGAGATCCCTGCTCTTCAGACATGGGCGAACAGGTTATGGGGGAGAGACGGTCTGGTGAGGGTTTCTCGTTTTGGTCCAAAGCTCATCGTATTCCAATTCCCATCGGCGGCTTCATGTGACTGGGTATTTCGCTCGGGTCCTTGGCACCATCGGGGGAATCCCATCTTTTTTAGGAAGTGGCATTCTGGTATTCAACCTATCGTTCCGCGGGTGGAGACACTTCCTATCTGGGTGAAAATTTGGGGTCTGCCGTTGGAATATGTTGCGCAGGAAGGTCTGGAATGGGTGACTAGCACAATGGGTAAACCGCTATGGATGGATCAGAAGACTAGAGTGGGTGGTCGGCTAGGGTTCTCTCGTGCCTGTATTGAGTTGAAGGCTGATTTTGGGTTTCCTACCAGTATTAAGTTCTACCCTGATGAGGATCCTTGTTTTGAAGTTGGAATCGAGTATAGTAACTTGCCAAATGTTTGTGCAAAGTGTGGGGTGTTTGGGCACTGCTGTAGTGGAGAGGTATCCGGCCCAGAGAGAGTTTGGAAGCCAAGAAAGGTCATGGTTGATGCTGTCAAGGGGACTCAGGAATTGGCTGTTGAAGAGGTTTTTTGTGATGCTTTGGCTGATGAGGTGCAAGTAGTAGTTGATGAAGCGATTCAGTTGGCTGTCGTGCAAGAAGTGGGCAATACAGTGGTTCAGGACTTCCAGACTGTGGGCACTCCACAGGCTTTGACAGATAAGGGCTCCCCGAGTCCTACTATAGTGAGTCCTTCTTTGAGTTTTGCAGAGGTAGTCAGAGGGTCGCCGAGTGAGGGGAGTCCTGGGGTACCTGCCTCAACTAAACTGAGTGAGTCCACTCCTAAGGGTGGAGGCTCAGGGACTCAGATAGCTCAAGGGAGGGTCTCTGGCATTTCACCTACTCAGGTTGTGCTACCAATTCTGGCTGGGAAAGGTAAGCAGATATGGATTGATGAATCTCAGACTGATTTCCAAGTGGTGAAAAAAGGGGGTAAGGGTGGAAAGGGGAAGAAACGTAAATAATGAAGTTGCTTACCTGGAACACTAGGGGGTTTGTAGCTGATAGTAAATACTTAGATATATGCAGGAAAATAAACAAGTATGATATTAGTATAGTAGCAATATTAGAGCCGAGAATAAGAAGGAAAGAGGAAGCCAAGTTTTTGAATAGGAGGTTTAAAGATTGGAGGAATGAGATCATTTATAACTCAGATAGTTTGGGGAAGATTTGGTTAGCATGGAAAAAGGAGGTCCCTCTGAGGATCTTGCACTCTTCTGATCAATTCATTCATGTTCTGGTGAATGCTACTACACCTTTCTTTGCCACTTTTGTTTATGCTTCAAATGAGGAGAGAGATAGAAGGAAGCTGTTTGATGATTTGAGAAGGATTAAAGTCCTGGGGATGCCATGGATGATTTCTGGAGACTTTAATGTCATTAGGAATCCTTCAGAAACCTCGAATGAAGTGAGTTATACTAATAACATGAAGGATTTTGAGAGTTGGATCCTGGAGTTGGAATTGGAAGATCATCAAGCAATAGGTCCATGGTTTACCTGGCTAAATAAACAGGATGCCCGTCCTATTGCAAAAAAGCTGGATCGAGTATTAGTGAATTTTGACTGGTTGGACAAAATACTGGGAAGCTCTGTTCATTTTCAGAAGCCATGGATATCTGACCACTGTCCTAGTCTGGTTGATACTGAGGCTGCACAGAAATCATTACCAAAACCATTCAAGTTCTTTCGGTTCTGGATAAATCATCCTAGGTTTGATCAACTACTGAAAGAAGCATGGGACTCTAGGGTGTCTGGTTCCCCAATGATTAGAGTGTATAAGAAGTTGAGAATCTTGAAGAAATTGTTAAGGGAGCTAAACAGGGAAGAATTTTCTAAGATCAGAGAGAGGGTTAAGAAGAAGGAATTGGAGCTTGAGGAAGTACAGGGTGTGGCTCTGGCAATTCCTACCAGTGAGAATTTTGAAAAAGAATCAGAGGTGTCAAAAGAGCTGCATATGTTAATTCAGGTAGAGGAGTCATTTTTAAGGCTGAAGTCAAGAGAGCTCTGGCTTAAAAAGGGTGACTCCAATTCCCCATATTTCCACAGGTCACTTAAAATTAGGCAAAGGAGAAACACTATCACTATGTTGAAAGATGAGGATGGAAATAAGGTTACTGATCTTAATAAGATGGGAGAGATTGCAGAGGGTTTTTATAGGAAATTACTGGGTCAGAAAGATGTTGAGGTAAAGGAGGAACCAGATGAGTTTTATACTGAGCTACTAAGAAGGAAAATTATAGGAGATGCAGATCTTTGTGCAAATGTAACTGTAGAAGAGATAAAGGAAGTTGTGTTTGGTATGAATGGTGACAAAAGCCCTGGTCCAGATGGATATTCATTAGCCTTTTTCCAGTATGCTTGGCCTGTTATTGGAGCTGAGGTAACTTCAGCTATGCAGACTTGTTTCCTTGAACGTAAAATGCCTAGGGAAGTGAATGCAACAATCTTGGACTTGATTCCTAAGATTCAAAACCCTGATGAAATGAGATTTTTCAGGCCAATCTCGTGTTGCAATACAATTTATAAAATAATTGCAAAGGTAGTGGCTAATAGGCTCAGAACTCAACTCCCTAATTTGATTAGTTTGAATCAGACTGCTTTTATTCAAGGTAGATCAATAGGGGATAATATACTGCTTGCTCATGAATTGGTTCATAAGTATGCTCAAAAGAATGTTTCCCCTCGTTGTGCATTAAAAATAGACTTGATGAAGGCGTTTGATTCAGTGGACTGGTCTTTCATTTTCAAAGTTTTAAAGCATATGGGGTTCCCTGAGCAGTTCATTGATTGGATTAAAATGTGTGTTAGTACCCCTATGCTTAGTGTGGGACTAAATGGGGGATTGGTAGGTTATTTCTCAGCTAGCAAAGGGTTGAGACAAGGGTGTCCATTGTCACCTTATCTCTTTGTCATTGCCATGGAAATGTTCACATGTATGATTGACAAAGAAGCTCAGAAAGGGCATTTTCCTTTCCATCCTATGTGCAAGAAGGTGGGTTTGACCCATCTTTGTTTTGCTGATGACTTGCTAGTTTTCTCGGATGGTTCAAATTATGGTTTTCAGAGGTTGAATGAGATTTTATCTCGATTTAGGGTGCTATCTGGCCTGAAAGTGAATCATAGTAAATGTGAACTGTTTTTTGGGGGAATGTCTGGCTCTGAACAGAAGATAAGGGCTGACAGATATGGTTTTGCTCTAGGAAGATTCCCTGTGAGGGATCTGGGGGTCCCCTTGTCTTCAGGGAAACTCACAGTATCAGCTTGCAAACCTCTTATTGATAAGATAGTAGCTCGTATAGTAGCTGGAAATCCAGATTCCTTTCATATGCTGGTAGAGCTGAATTGGTCAGTTCAGTTCTGTACAATCTCCATCAATACTGGATGGCTGTTTTCCTCCTCCCTAAAGCAGTGATAAAGGAAGTGGAAAGTATATGTAGTAATTTTCTTTGGGGGGTGGGTCAGAATGGTAGGGTAAAAGCAAAAATAGGGTGGAAGAACCTTACCTTTTCAAAGAAGGAGGGGGGATTAGGGCTAAGGGATCTTACTACTTGGAATACTGCATGTATCACAAGGCATATATGGCTCCTCCTAATGAAGCATGGTTCTTTATGGGTGGCTTGGATTTGCTTGTACAAGCTGAAAGGCCAGGATTTATGGGAGTATGGTGGTATTTCTGGCTCATGGAACTGGAAGAGAATCCTGAAAGTGAGGCACAAGGTGCGAGGTCATTTTCATCAGCAGGGCCAACAGGTTTTTTGGGATCAGGAAAGAATGGAAAAATTCTCTATAAAGCAAATTTGGAATACTCTGAGACCTAGAAGGCAGGAAGTGGATTGGTTTAATCTGCTATGGCAGGGGAGTTCAATATCTAGAAACAGATTCATAACATGGCTTATTCTAAGCAAAGCAGTTTCAACAAAGGAGAAGATGGCAAAATGGGGTTATTCAGGTAGCCTGGGATGTGTTTTTTGTAATTGTCAGCTTGAAACAATTGACCATTTGTTTGCTGAATGTGGGTTATACAGGAGCCTGAAGGGTGAGCTGTATGGTAGCAGGTCTGTTGTCTCTTCTTCTTTGAGTAGCGAGATTTGCTGGGTGAAACAGAAATTTGGTTCTAAATCTGTTGATTCTCAAGCTGGGAAGGCTTTGTGGCAGAGCCTTGTAAGTTTGATTTGGCGAGAGAGGTGTAGTAGAGTTTTTACAGGAGTGTGCAGGGATAGAGCAGTTTTGTGCAAGATTGTTAGAGAGGAGGTAGTCGTGCTTTTTGGTAGTCAAGTCTTTGATTCATTTGTATAGAATTTTATGAATTTGATCAATCCTAACTAGCAAGGATGTTGCTAGTACTCCTTTTTTGATGGAATGAGAACAACCCGATTCATAAAAAAAAACATCGCCCGAAAATTAAATTAGAAACTCGTGTCGTTCTGGCTTCTGCCTTGCCCAGTTGCCCTTTTCCCTTTTCCTCCAGTGGTCCAAGATAGGGTCAGTAACCACTATCAGTAACCACACGGGAGTCGTAGGATTGGGAATGGAGCAATCGTGTGGCTGGGCTGGATGTGGGGTGGGGAGGGGCATTTTTGTCCGTTTTTGTATTTTTAATTTTTATTATTCATTCCGCATTTCAATGGCTGACTTTTCGATGAAAGAGAGACAATGCATTTTCTCTGCAACTCAACTTTCTTCCTTCTCTCTTCTTTTCTTTCAATCTCTTTCCAAATCCTTTCTCTTTCTCTATTCCTTCTCTCTTACTTTTTCTTTCACAATCTCCTTTTCAAATTTAGATCTGCTCTCTTCCTTCTTCATTTTTTTTCTCTAGCAATCGACGAATAAAAATTGTAGCCACTCTCTTTCTTTGCATTTCTTCTCTTCATCAACTCGTTGGCCTCAATTCCGATCTTTCTCATTTTTTTGGCATTTTGGTGTTCTTGATTGAGGAAGAGGAAATGAGAGGCATCAGAAGACGATTTTTTCTCTCCCTCCTTCTGTTTTTTTTCCTTTTAGATAATATATATTGATATTATGACACTATACCATATGGTATTGGGTGGTAACAAAATATATATTGATATTACCACACTATACCCTATGGTAATGTATGGTATTGCGTGGTAACGAAATATACATTGATATTACCACTCTATACCATATGGTATTGTGTGGTAACGAAATATATATTGATATTACCACACTATACCATATGGTATTGGGTGGTAACGAAATATATATTGATATTACCACACTATACCATATGGTATTGGGTGGTAACAAAATATATATTGATATTACCACACTATACCCTATGGTAATGTATGGTATTGCGTGATAACGAAATATATATTGATATTACCACTCTATACCATATGGTATTGTGTGATATTACCACACTATACCATATGGTATTGGGTGGTAACGAAATATATATTGTTATTACCACACTATACCATATGGTATTGGGTGGTAACGAAATATATATTGATATTACCACACTATACCATATGGTATTGGGTGATAACGAAATATATATTGATATTACCACACTATACCATATGGTATAGACTGGTAATAACTGGAAAAAAAAAATTGTGTCAAAAAAAATCAAAGTGGATATCATTTTGAAGAGCATAATTAATCTGATCTAACTGTGCAAAAAAAATTAAATTTCGACTTAAAACGAGTGAGAAATCATCCGTTAAAGATTAAGAGAAGGAAAATTAAAGGTTTTTCGATGAGAGAGAAGGAGGTCCTGATGTGGTCGGTCAAAAGTCAGCGCGTCAGCAATAAATATGGGATAAGTGCATTTTACCTTACTGCCCTTTAGCATTTAATTTAAATAAAAAGTAACTGACACGTGGAGAGAGGAGAGAGGGGTTACTGATGGGTTACTCACCCATTAGTTACTCACCCATTAGTTACTCACCCGATCGGCTCCCCCTTGTTAATAACCAGTTGGTCCCAATAACTCGAGTTAGTCGCTGGAAGATGGCTTGTAGATCAGCGGAGGCATTCTTCGCAGCTTTGACGTTATTCGCCCTCCACCTCCACCATCTCCCTTCCATTCGCCCGAGCTTTCGTTCCCCAAATTCTGCTGAAAACTTGAATCCATCGCTTCTTGCTTCACAAAGCCTCGCAATTCCTGAGCAGCTGGAGACGGAAGCAGCAGAGGATCCTGGTTCCCGTTGCTGGTCGGAGACAGTAACCTCGAGAATATGGCGTCCATGTCGGAGCTCGACGGTCGGAAGTAGCGGAAATCATCAAATCCCCCTCCGGCGCCGCCATTGACGAGATCTTCGAAGAATGAGCTTGGCGCGGAACGAAGACGCGCCAACCCTGAATGATTACTACCCTGATGCTGCTGCTGCTGCTGCTGATGATGATGAAGGTTGTAAGGATTGAGATCCACAGCAAGATCCTGGAAGCTGTTCTTCCTCAGTTCTCCATTTGGGTACTTGAGATTACTGCTGTAAAGAATCCCACTGCTCATGATGGCTTCCTGAACTGGATTGGATTAAGAAGGTGGGGTTGAATGCTGCGCCGTTGACCTCTAAAAAAAGCTTTCCAAACTTTGCCTCTACTTCACGAAGATTGCTTGCTGCTTGGTCCAAAAATGGATAAGAAGGGAGGAAAGAAAAGGAAAGAAGAAAACAGAGCCAAAAAGAAAGGCAGTCGCTTTCTTTCTTCAAAGCAAAGTGCAATTATATCCTTGTGATTTTGCAGTTCGAAAGGCGGGAAGAGAAACAGAGTCTAGCTCAGAAGGAAGCAGAGTGCAGAGAGAGAGAGGAACGTGGGAGTGAGTCATTTGCACTCTGTTTGGCAACCAGGGGGGAGCAAATTTAGAGGAGGGTGCAAATTGAGGGGTAAGTTGTAGGGGGTACAAATTTAAAGAGGGTGCAAATTGAGGAGTAAATGGTTGTTTGGGAGAAAAAGTAGGAGGGTGCAAAGTGTAGTAGAAAAATATATAAAATATTATATTATATTAAAATTTCATTTAATTACTTTTAAAACCTTTTTCTTTTATTTTTTACTTTCCTTCTCTTGCACGATGGCAAGTTCCCTTCTCTCACCGTCATTCACTTTCCTTTCTCTCTCTATGCTTTTTTCTCCGCTCTTTCCCCCTTTCCTTCTTCGTTCTTGTTCCTTCTTTTCTCAAAGTAGAGAAGGCCCAAGGCCCCTCATCTATTCCCAGGATTTTCATACAAGAAAATCATCGTCATTGTTCTGAAAGCAGAGCTCGGTGGCTGGGCAAGTAGGAGATACGAAATCGCCGCCACAGTCCGTTCTTCTTGCCTCGGGTTCAGTGGCTGGGCAGAGGGTGGTGCCGGGAGGAAAAACAGGGGAAGGAGATTGGAATAGTGATGATCGATCTCGAGCGTCGCCGTCGATCTCCCCACAACATCGCCGTCGTTTCTCAGGGCGCGAGATCACAATTAGACAGAGACGGCGACTACTTGGCTGGAGGAAGAAGGATTGTTGCATGTCTTCTTCTTTCGATTTTTTTCTGAAATCGTGGGGAAGATTGATGTTTTAAGTTTTCAGATCTAATGGATCCGGTGGCTTGGATTCTTATCGGAGGTGGAAATCAAAACCGGTGACTAGGGTACTCTTGTTAGAGGTGGCAATCACGACGGCGGATTGAGTTTCTTGCCGGAGGTTTAAATCGGAGGGTCTTTCCGTTGGCTTGAGAAAAAAAATCAGTCTTACGATTTTCTTAACAAAAAAAAAATCAGGAACGACAAATTGATAAAGCTTTCAAGCTTTCTCTCTCCGCTTCCGCCCCAATTTGGGGGGTTAAGCGAAACAGTGATTTTGCACCAGAAATTTCTGCCCCCCTACTGTTCCAAACTTTCCCAAACGCGTGCAAAATCATTGGGAAAGGGATTTACCCCCTAGTTGTTGCACCCCCGTCTACTTCCCCCTCTTCCCAAACAAAGCGTTGAGGAACGAAGGGGAAGGCGATACATATAAACAAGAATGGTGTTTCCAGAGTGGGCACCGAGTTGGGACATAATCACGTGAATGCCATTGGTGATGATGATGACGATGGTGGAAGGTGGGTCCCATGGTTGTGCGGGCAATTGATGACTGGGACAGAGACTTGAGAAGAAGAAGAATGGATTTTGGGAATTGGAGGGCTGGGCTATTTTGTCTTTTGGAGTTAGCGAGATTCGATCCATTACTACTGCTAGTATTATTATTAGCGGCAGCAGCAGCCACAACAGAGGAACCCAAATCAATCGAATCCATGAACGTGGCAGCAGAATCACGCATTTGAGTCCTTAGTAACTATCAAAGTTGTCAAACCGGTTTAGGATGACGACCTGAGCTAACTATTAAATTGAGGGCTAATGATTTGATTACATAAACCTGGTTTGCCCCATATAGTTAAAAACAATATTACTTTATTATTCATACATTTATAAATTATATAAAATCCAAGTAATCTACACCAACACATTTCTTACTAAGGGGTCGTTTGGAAGTTGTGATAGTTTTGTTGAGATTGTCATTATGCATGTATTGTTTACAATGCATAGTTTTTTTTTTTTGTTTTTTTAGCAGAAACAATACATGGATTGTTTCTGTGATGTGACAGAAACTATCACTCATTTTGAGTGACTTTAAAAATATTAAAGCACTTTTAATTTAAGACCCATGCCACGTACTCCTTACTTGCATTTTAAGCGGCCACGTCAGCCTCTCTAATTCCCCGCCACCCAAACTCTAGCATGAACTTTTTCCCGGCTCTTTGCCCTCGATTAACCCCCAATCGAGTCCCGACATATTCCTCATGGCCGGCGCTTCTCTACCCTTACCAATGACACATCACATATGGCCCCTGATTCTGCACCATCAATCCTACCTTGCCGGCGACTTAATCCGCCCTTACTGCCCCGATTTAATCTGTGATGCTTGCTCCTCCGCATCTGTTCCATCCCCTGGACATTTTCCCATTCCTGATAACATATCAGCCACATATTTTCCCCAATCCCCAGCGCTGATTTCACCCTTCCCGCCTTCCCACCAAAATCACAATTCAATTCCTCTTCCTATTACCTTCCCCTGTTCCTCCTGCTCTGTTTCCATCCCACTTAATAGCAATTGATATTATCGGAAGTTGTCATTAACCAAAATCACGTTCCGCCGCAATCTCGCCGCCGCATAATCGAACGCATTCGGCTATTGGGCAGAGCACGGCAAAATTGAATTTTTGAGGATTCATACTACAACCCCTAACCGTACCCTGCCGCATAATTGAATGGGTTCCCTCGCCAACGGCTGGTAACTGGTCAGTCAATGTCAGAGTACGGTAATATTGAAGTTTTGAGGATCCTCTTAATTTGGGTGCATGTTGCATTGTTGCTCCTCTGTTTTAAAGTGCCCTTTTCTGAATCCCCTCTGTTTTTACTTCGTCATACAGACTACAGTAAGCCATGGTTGTCTAACCTCTAAAGCGCATGTTTGACTGTTACATTGCAGGTTTCTTACCATATGGGTGCACAAAACTGTTGCTATGAGGATTCATTCATTGTATTGCTCATATTGGTTTGTTGTTAGATAAATTCTCATGGACTCATTTAACATAGAAAATCTCCCAAGTCAATTTCATTGTGGAGAGTTTTGGTTTAGTTATATCGGAAACAAGTCACCGCATCAAGGAAGACCTCATCATTCATGTTCTTCGTGGCTTAGGACCTGAGTACCGTGAGTTTGCTGCAGCAATTCGGGCTCGGGACTCCATTATTTCTATTGAAGATCTTCATGACAAACTGGTCGAGTTTGAGGCAGATGTGGCTGCTGTTCGTGCTCAATCAGAGGCTGCAGTCACCACTGCCTTCGTGTCACAGCTCGGCTCTCGTCCGTATGCTCGTGGAACTTCATCTCCTCGTTCTCGTGGTTCAGCTCCAGCCACTTCTTCTCAATCAGGAGTTCTAGGTGCTCCACCCTTCCTGCCGCAAGTTTCTCAGCAGCAGTCTTCTCCCCGACGCCCACGTATTGTGTGTCAGTTCTGTGAAAAGGTCGGTCACAGTGCAAAGGACTGCTACCGCATCAAAGGACGTCCCCAGGCACACCATTCCTCTCGAGCTTCTGCATCTTCCTCAGGCTGGCTTATGGACTCCGCTGCGACAAACCACATGACTCCCGATCTGGGCAATCTGTCTATCTACTCCGATTACACTGGTCTGGACGAGGTGCTTGTTGGTGACGGCACAGGTCTCAAAATTTCACATATTGGCTCCTCTTGTCTTACTGGTTCTGATACTCCTTTATCCTTACACGAAGTCTTATGTGTGCCATCCATCAAACAACGGCTTATCTCTATGGCTAAGCTATGTCAGTCTAACCCGGTTTCTGTTGAATTCTTTTCTGATTGTTTTGTCGTGAAGGATCTAAGCACGGGGGCGCAGCTGCTGCGAGGCCAGAATAAGGGCGATGTCTACGAGCTCCCGAGGACAGCATCACCACTTCGATTAGCCCTCTCCTCCGCCAAAACATCTTCCACAACTTGGCATTCCCGCCTTGGCCATCCGCACTCCAAACTGCTTTCTCGTGTGCTCCGCACGAATGCTCTTCCCGTAACTTCTGTTTCCTCCATTTCCTCATGCGAGTCATGTTTAGTCGATAAGAGCCACAAACTGCCATTTTCGGCCTCCAGTTTGAGTAGTTCTCGTCCCTTTGATATTGTTTTTTCTGATGTTTGGGGTCCCTCCCCGGTGTCTTCACATGATGGATTCTCCTATTATTTAATTCTAGTTGATCATTTCACCCGTTATTCATGGTTGTATCCTCTTCGTCGAAAGTCTGATGTTCTCTCTGTTTTTCTTGACTTTCGTCGCATGGTTGAGAACTACTTTAACACTACCATACACTGCCTTTATACTGACGGGGGTGGTGAATTTCGCAAACTCTGTTCCTCTCTCCGTGCGCATGGTATATCTCACTTGCTCACCCCTCCTCACACACCTGAACACAACGGCTTGGCTGAGCGCAAACATCGCCACGTCGTTGAGACCGGTCTTGCCTTACTTCACTCTCCCTCTCTACCATTATCATTCTGGATTTATTCTTTCACCACTGCTGCATATCTAATAAACCGTCTACCCTCCTCGTCGTTAGGTGGCCAAACTCCTTTCTTTTCTCTCTTCAACACAAAACCCAACTATCTCAAACTTCGCACTTTTGGATGCGCTTGCTTTCCCTGGTTGCGTCCTTACAGTCCTCACAAGCTCGCTGCCCGTTCACGCAAATGTATCTTCCTTGGATACTCCACTAAACAAAGCGCGTATAAATGCTTTGATCCCGCCACCTCCCGTATCTTCCTCTCTCGCCATGTCATATTTGACGAAACTCAATTCCCTGGCCTTCATTCCACCCCTAATTTGTTGTCTTCCTCCCCCTTGGATTGGATCGCTGCCACATCTCCATTCCAAAACATTCCTATTTCTTCCATACCCTCCCCACCTACAGACTCTCCCTCGGCCCATTCCACCTTCCCCTTGGCCCAACAGCCCTCCTCACATCCAGACCCAATTCCTACGCATACAACCATCTCCTCTCCTCCTCCCTCCGCTGCTGCCCCTCTTGACTCGTACGCCTCGCCGCCCCGCTCCTCCCCTACTGCGGATCCTTCGCCACCCAACAATCGCCGGGCTGCTCCACCGCCACCAAGAAAGAGGCTGCCACCTACTAATGTTCGTCGTCACCCAATGGCCACGAGATCCCAGAACAATATTTTCAAGCCTAAGCGTCTCTTTTAAACGCAGGCCAAGCTCTCTGCTCTTGCTCTCGAACCCACCTCCGTCGCTGCTGCTCTCTCCAGCCCTGAATGGACAGCCGCTATGCAGGCTGAATTTGCTGCGTTACTTCGCAACGGGACATGGCAGCTTGTGCCTCGTTTACCCCATTACAATGTTGTTGGCTGCAGGTGGATTTTCCGGGTCAAACGCAAGCCCAACGGCTCCATTGATCGATTCAAGGCGCGTCTTGTGGCCAAGGGATTCCACCAACGTGCCGGTGTTGATTTCACTGAGACTTTCAGCCCTGTCCTCAAGCCTGTCACCATCAGGACTGTCTTCAGCATTGCTCTCAATCACTGTTGGCCTATCCACCAATTCGACGTCAATAATGCGTTCCTCCAAGGTTCCCTGACTGACGATGTATATATGGCTCAACCTCCGGGTTTCAAGAATGCCTCTTTTCCTGATCATGTTTGCCGCCTCAACAAAGCCATTTATGGACTCCGTCAAGCTCCGCGTTCTTGGTACAATGAACTCTGCAGCTTCTTGGAGCAAGAGGGGTTCGTCAAGACTCAATCAGATGCATCTCTTTTTGTCTACAATTGTCGTGGCACTCTTCTCTATTTCCTGGTTTACGTCGACGACTTACTCCTCACCGGTAACAATTCGATAGCTCTCTCTCGGTTCCAACAACGCCTGGCTGCTCGGTTTTCCCTCAAAGAATTGGGTCCCGTCAATTACTTCCTCGGCATCGAAGTCTTGCCCATGTCCATTGGCTACTTGCTCTCACAGCATAAATATGTCACTGATATTCTTGAGCGGTTTCAAATGGCCGACGCCAAATCGGTTCCCACTCCACTGGCCTCCTCAACTCGGCTACTCTTATCCGACGGCTCACCCCCTGCTGATTCCAGTACCTATCGCCAAATTGTCGGCTCTCTGCAATATCTTCTATGCACTCGCCCAGACATCGCATTCGCCGTCAACAAACTGTCACAGTTTATGCATGCTCCAACACACACTCATTGGCAGTCCGTTCGCCGGCTTCTTCGTTACCTCAAAGGCACCAGTGATCATGGACTCCTTCTACGTCGTGCTCCCTTGGCTACTCTCACCGCCTTTGCTGATTCCGATTGGGCCGGTGACCCCAATGATCGTACGTCAACCATGGCCTTCCTCATCTACTATGGCGGCAACTTAATCTCCTGGAAATCCAAAAAAACAGCGGACAGTCGCCCGCTCCAGCACCGAAGCGGAGTATCGCGCTCTGGCCCATGCTACTGCCGAACTTGAATGGATTCAAAATCTGCTACTTGAGCTTCACCAACCTGTCTCCACTCCTCCTCTACTACTCTCTGATAATTTTGGTGCCACCTATCTTGCTCAAAACCCTGTGTTCCACTCTCGGATAAAGCATTTAGCTCTGGACTATCATTTTGTTCGACAGTTGGTGCAACAACATCGTCTCCAAGTTCGCCATGTTTACACTCACCAACAGCTCGCCGATCTCTTAACAAAACCCCTCGCTGCAACCAGGTTCCATCTTCTCAAGTCCAAGCTCGGTGTCGTCAGTGCCGCCACCGTCTTGCGGGGGCGTGATAAGGATTAATAATTTCAATTTTGTTTAGCTTTTACTTAGTCAGCTGTAGGCCTTTATTTCTCGGTTCTATTGTCCACGATCTCCCACTTCCCTTTCTGTTGTAACCACTTCAGCTGATTGATTGTATTTAAACTAGTTCTTGCTATCAATAGAAACAAGTCAATCGCAAATCCACGATCTCCCACTTCCCTTTCTGTTGTAACCACTTCAACTGATTGATTGTATTTAAACTAGTTCTTGCTATCAATAGAACCAGTTGCTCCCAATAACTCGAGTTGTTGGGAGAAGGTTCTGCTGGATCTTATATCACAATCTAACACGCCCCCTCAAACGAAAGCCAACCCATGGGTTTGCACAGGCCCACCATACCATGTGCTTGAAAGACAACAGTTAATATTGGGGGTCGTGAAGATTCGAACACATGACCTTTTGGTTCGAGGCTCTGATACCATGTCACAACTGGTTCTTGATATGGTATCAGAGCCTTCTGTGACCGATAGGTCTTGTGTTCGATTCCCGATGACCCCATTTGTTAAGCACATGGTATTTTTGTCTTCAGACCTGTGCAAACTTCAAGCCTTTGTGAGTGGCTTTCGTTTGAGGGGGCGTGTTAGTATTGTGGTATATGATCCATGATTGAACCTCTCCCAACAACTCGAGTTATTGGGAGCAACTGGTTCTTGACATGGTATCAGAGCCTCGAACCAAAAGGTCATGTGTTCGAATCTCCACGACCCCAATATTAACCGTTGTCTTTCAAGCACATGGTATGGTGGGCATGTGCAAACTTCAAGCCCATGAGTTGGCTTTCGTTTGAGGGGGCGTGTTAGAGTGTGATATAATATCCAGCAGAACCTTCTCCCAACAACTCGAGTTATTGGGACCAACTGGTTCTTGACATGGTATCAGAGCCTTCTGTAACCGATAGGTCTTGTGTTCGATTCCCGATGACCCCATTTGTTAAGCACATGGTATTCTTGTCTTCAGACCTGTGCAAACTTCAAGCCTTTGTGAGTGGTTTTCGTTTGAGGGGCGTGTTAGTATTGTGGTATATGATCCATGATTTGAGTTAAAAGAAGAAAGTCCCAAATTCATCCATGGTGGTTTGCTATTCCCGTTTCCTCTCTAAGAAGCCTTGATCCCTAGAATTCACTCTCTACACATCGAGCCCGCCAAATTTAGCCATTCCTTCCTCTCCAGTCCATTTCAGCTGGCTTGCTGCGTGACGGCTCTCCATTGGAGCTTCGGCGCTTGCCCTCTTTTGCTACCGGCCGTTTGCGTGTTCGTGAAAACTGACTCCGGCGGAGGTACATCAGCTAAGGCGTAATTGAATCTAGTGTTGGTTCCTCAACTTGCGAAGCTACTAATTCGGTTGGAAGAATCGCTTCCTTGCTAGGTTTTCTGATTGCGAATTCATTCAGATTATGTAGCGGAAGCAGGATTAGTGGTGAATCTTCGCGTATTTATGAATGCCACGCAGTTTTGAATAAATTATTCTTTCTGCTTGGAAAAATTCGCTGGCTTTTTTAGTTTGTGTCCGCGTCCCCTCAGCTGGACTGTGTTGGGAAGAGCAGCAGGATTAGCGAAGCGTCCGGGAATTTCAGAATTAGGGTGAAGTAGGGGATTGGGAGTCGGGGAAGTGAAGTTGAATCAGTTTTTTTTTTTCTTTTTTCTTTTTTCCATTGGGGTTTCTCTGAAGGAAGCTAGACGAAGAAGAAAGAAGAAAAGGTTGAAACTTTGTAGTGTAGGGTTGTTGTTTTGACTGTTAGCAATGGCCTCTTACAGGCCATTCCCTCCACAGTCGGCTTTTCCTCAACCTCCACCTCCTCCTCCACCGAATCAAGCGCCACCACCTCAGCCACCTCCACCACCGCAGCAACCACCACACAGGCCAAACCAGTACAGTCAAAACTATGCACCTCATATGCCTCCTCCCCCTCCTACATCATTCCCACAGAACTATTCACAACAGCAGAATTTTCCATACCCTCACCCAAGAGCTCAAGCGCCACCTTCCCACCAGCAATACCCGTATCAGCCTCCACCTCCAATGCCAGCAGCACCGCCACCTCCACTTCCTGACTCTTCATATCCTCCTCCACCTCCACCACCAGGGCCAAGTCAACCACAACCGCAACAGCCATCATCTATGTATTACCGACCTTCTCAATTTTCACAGTATAATCAACCGCCAATGCAGTCCATCCCTCCTCCTCCCCCTTCTTCTTCTCCGAGTTCCTCAATGCCACCACCACCACCACCACCACCCAGCTCGCCGCCTCCTCCGCCACCTCCAAAAGAAAGTGGGGTGGAAAGAGAGAGAGGGGGTTCGAGGGACAAGAGAGAGCACAGGAACTTGGAGCATGGGAAATCAAATCAGCAGAAACTTCCAATTCCTCCACCCTCCAAGAAGGCCAACGGGGCAGTAGGAAGGGTAGAGACAGAGGAAGAGAGAAGATTGAGGAAGAAGAGGGAATTCGAGAAGCAAAGACACGAGGATAAACATAGGCAGCAGATGAAAGAGTCACAGAACTCCAATCTGCACAAGAGTCAGATTGCATCTTCTCATAAGGGACATGGTTCTATTATTGGGCAACGGGTTGGGGATAGGAGGGCCACACCTTTATTGACTGCAGAAAGGAATGAGAACAGGTTGAAAAAGCCTACAACATTCTTGTGCAAGCTGAAGTGAGTATTGTTGACCTTGCTTGTCAATTTCATTTGTTTGCTTAAAGCTCAAGGTGTTCCTGTTTGAATGCTGATTCTATTCCATAAAATACATCAACGTTTGTGAGTAAATTTCTTAGTATTCAGCTGTCGATGCAATTTGTGTATTCAACTTTTACTTTTTCGGTAAATTGTCTCTGAAGCTATGAGTAGTTCTATGTTGAGTTTCATTTAATCTCATTTGAAGTTGAGTCTCAAAGTTGGCCAATGTCTTGATGTAGTGTGTCAATAAACAGAGTAAAGGTTTGCTTCTTCCATGTTGCCTTTAGTGATGAATGAAGAAGTAAAAATAAAAATTTGTGCAATCTCTGCATTAAGTGTACACATTTCATTTGTGATTTTATATGTCGAACCCTGAAGAAAATTGATAAGACATATCGTAGTCGATTATTTGTCTAGTGTACCTTCAAGTTACTCAAGGATCATGCATGGGGTTAGATTGCAGAATTTGTGCATTGCTCCCACCTATCTAGATCCAATTTACATATGCATCATTCGCCAAAATAAGGAGAAAAGAGAAAGAAAAACCACTAATTCTTCGTTTCTTTGTTCCGCTAAGCACTTTGATAATAATACAAGGTTGTTGCTTTGGTAAAGTAGGTTATGCAATTTGATTTTGTTCTAGGATATAGCATGCTGTCTTCACTTTTTATTGCCATCTCCAAAGTCAAGTTGTATGAAAAAGAAAATTATGTTGATTATTTCCTATTCCTTTCGTAAACAATGTTTGTATACCTACTAATATAGTTATCCATGTGCTTGTTGAAGATTCCGTAATGAACTTCCAGATCCAAGTGGACAGCCAAAATTTATGAGAATGAAGAAAGATGACGACCGGTATGTGTCTGTACAGCCTCTCTTCATCTTATATTTTTGTTAGCAATTTGAAATCAGTCTAAACTGCATTGATGATGTATTTCTTTAATTTTTGTTTAGTAGTGCATTTGATTTTAATTATCTGAGGTATCTGGGACGTTCATTGCAGACTGACTGATTGGCCATGGAAGTAATTGAGGATATCTTTAATTTCAGAATATAGAAACCTATTCGCCTGATCACTTAGCCAACAATAAGCATCAAAGCCTAATTTGTGCTGCAATTTATGGGACGTTATGACAGCATTATCGGTAACTTTGGACAAATATGCTTGGAGAGGCCTGCAAAAAGGGGCTCAAGTTTGCAACTACACTTTCTTCTTGCTGCTTCATCTCCACAAAGTTATTGTTTGTGTTGTCCTAGAACTAGAAGTCTGTTGAAAGCTTTATAGATTTATCAAACTTCTTGATGTACAATGCTTAATGAAACTAATTTCAGGATAAGGGAATGGTTTGAGAACTGCGATTAACCGTAGTTCTCGATGTACTTTTTAATAAATGCTTGTTAACCATAGTTGTTTGTGATTAACCATTTTTGTGATGATAGAACTGTGAGTTGTCAGCAACAATTTCTGTTCCACACTACATAATCTAGTTACAATTGGATGCAATGCAGGTTTACTAAGTACATGATCACTTCTTTGGAGAAGATGTATAAGCCAAAGCTATATGTCGAGCCAGATCTTGGGATTCCTCTTGACCTCCTTGATCTCAGTGTTTATAAGTATTACTCTAAGCCTTCAAATATTTGTCTCGTGTGTGTGTAATCTATGTGTCAGATCTGATCTTCTGTTGTACTTGTTATACCAGTCCCCCAAGTGTGAGACCACCTCTGGACTTGGAGGATGAGGAATTGTTGCAGGATGATGAGGCACATACCCCCGTGAAAAAAGATGGGATAAAAAGAAAAGAAAGGCCGACTGATAAAGGCGTTTCATGGCTAGTCAAAACACAGTATATATCTGGTTATAGCATGGACTTGAACAAGCAGGTACAGTCTATGCCACAACTCCTTCCTAGATTACCTTGATGCTGTAACATAACCTGTTCTTGTGTCCTGCAGTCTAATACTGACAAGCAAGCAAAGGACCGAGAAAAGAAAGGAGCCCACCTCTTGGATAACCTTAATGATAGGTATGTTCATGTGACCTTATGAGTGTGAATCATTAACTGCACAAGTATTTAGTCTTGTGTTGACGATGAGATATTGATATTAACTTCATTTTTCTTATAATACTTGGACTGCACTTTCAGGGAGAGACAGATCAAAGACATCGAGGCATCATTTGAGGCATGCAAGTTACCACCTGTCCACGCAACCAATAAAAACTTGCATCCTGTGGAGGTTTTGCCACTGTTACCTGATTTTGATCGGTATGGTGCTATCTAATGCTTTATGATTCTTGAATCATTTAATTGCAGCCGGTCTCTTATGTGGTTTTTGGTCAGTCTGATTTGAGAATTTGATGGCCTAACAAACCAGTTTTCGCCATGTTCGGTAGAAGACTGTTTATCAGATGCAATTTAAGTGGAATAATAACCGTTCAAAGAGAAATTATCTACCTTTATCTCTTATCGTCTCGGTCTTGTTTTCGTGCATCTTCTGAAGTGAATATTTCCTGCAGTGATGAGAGTTAAATATCAATAACAAATATGTGTTCTTGAATGCTATAAGCATGAGCTTGTTATGAAGAGGTTCAGTGTTTGTATTTGATGTTTTATAATTGCTTATGGCGAGTTGGGCGTATTGAAGAAGAAAATGAAATGAAGTAGAAATCAGGAAAATTGTATGAAGAAGTATGGAAATGATGTGGATAAGTTATTGTTTTAACAGGGCGTGGTTAACTTACTTCTTTTGTGTTCTCTGTTATTGCACTGGGTTAGGGCATTTTAAGATTCCAATAAACCTGCGACCTGTGATGTTGAACCAGGTATGAAGGTAAATTCACCATGGTGACATTTGACGGTGCTCCTACAGCAGACTCTGAACAATATGGCAAGTTGGATCAGTCTGTTCGAGATGACTGTGAATCACGGGTAAGTTATAGGAAATCTTGATTGCATTCAACATCAGAATAGTATGATGCCCGTCTCAGATTAGGTTTAAAAGTAATTTAGTTTGTGTGTGAGTACAGGCTGTTATGAAGGCCTGTGTGATCTCAGGCCCTGATCCGGCAAATCCAGAGAAGTTCTTGGGCTACATGGTTCCTAATCCTAATGAGGTAGTACTTCTCAATCTAGAGGATGAACCTTCAGCACAATTTGTTTTCAGAATATTAGTTTTTCTATCTATATTTTTGTCCATGTGTGGTGTGTCATTGATATCGCTACTGTTTGTCATCTCAATGCGTTCTCTAATGTTGCAGCTGTCAAAGGATATGTTTGATGAAGACGAGGATATCTCATATTCCTGGATTCGAGAATACAATTGGGATGTAAGTATTGCTCAAATTTATTGAAGGCTAGCAAGTAGATCCTGAGTCTGGTTGATTTATTTTCTCATGGGTTCAACAGGTACGTGGTGACGATGGTGAACCAACAACGTTCGTTGTTTCGTTTGATGAGTCTGAAGCTCGATATCTGGTATCGTCACTGTCCTCAATATCTGTGTATTCGAAAGTGCTATTTATGTATGTGATTGAAGCATCCATCAATATATGTCTCATTGTGGCAGCCACTTCCGTCGAAGATTACATTGAAAAGGAAAAGAGCCATAGAGGGAAGATCCAATGACGAGGTTGAACATTTCCCTGCACCCGGAAGAGTGACTGCCAGGTGGCGCCGTGAAGCAGCTTCAATCGAGCTTAGGGAACCAGGGGTATCGAAAGAAAAAGACCTGTTACTCTCTAAAAATCATCCTCCCAAGTAATATTTCTACATGTTATTTGACTTCCATTCATGCCTTTTCAGGTTAGTAGCATAAAATCAAGAGGTAACAATTCAAAGTCGAGGACGGCACGGTCTGAAGATGAAGAAGAAGACGAATACGATGATGATGACCTCGAAGAGAGACATCATAAGATGTCCCGGAACCAAGATATCAACCAATATAGTGCTGGCGAAGATGAATTTTCTGACGAATAAACAAGTTCTATGGTCGTGGATACAATTTTTTCGATACCAAAAAAGAGGGTGTTGGGTAGAGAAGAAGGATTGTCAGGGGTTGTAAAATAGAAAGTTGCCAGAGGAAGTTGGCTTCTTTTCTGGGTTTCTACTCTGCTCTTTTCGCTGAGAGATGAACGCTTCTCTCACAGAGCTTCTCATTGATATAAATTTTGCACGTTTATATGTAAGGTAACCAATTGTTCTTACGGATCAAGCCCTTGTAACATTACTGCTAGGAAAACTATTTTACAAACTTGACCGAGTAAAATGAATGAATGAACTTCCATTAACGCTTTATGCTTACATCGGCTTCAATTGACTTTGGCTCCAAAGTTCCATAGATATAACAATGTACAGAAAATGACAGTACAATTTTGCTTCGTCCGTTTACAGATTTGTTTACAGATTTAAATGACCGTAGTTTCTTCAGATGTAACACTTCTTCATGCAATAGAAGCCCTGTTTTTCCAACATTCCGAAAAAAGAAAACAGTTAGGGTGTTGGCAATCTTGGTTAGGGAGAACTACAATATGTTTGAAGAACTGACCATGCTTGCCGACATTTGACAGCCTCTTGACGAACGACTCTCTTTGGGTCATCTAGAGCTTTAGACACAGCTTGCAACACCTGGAAGAATTAATGCCGAGTTACTAAATCTTTTCACTAATCTAACCATTTGAGGCCCTTTAAGGCTTTAGCGTGTTATTACTTATTAGGGCCACGGCTCATTTGAAACTAACCTGAATTCTTCTGGGATAAATCTTTGTGTAAGGCAGCTGAGACATAGCAGTGAGACACTGAATTGCAGTCTCCCTAACAAGCTTTAAAAAATGCACCAAAACAACACAAAAAACTGGTTCAGTGATATACCAGTGCTAAGAGAGATTTCATGCCCTAAAAATGTGAAAACAGAAGTACAGTAGACAGATTTCTCATCAAGGACAGCGTATATTACCATCCTGTGAGGATACCCGATGAGCTGAACAAGGCAATTAACGATGATATGAGCATTTTCTATAACCGCTTCTTGTCCTGCATCAACAAATAAAGAAGAGAACTTTAGGCAAAAGGCTTATCACATCTTAAACATGATCCACAATCTATAGGAGCAGAGTGTTTGAAGTGCTTGAGACGGAGGGAGAGAGAGATACCAGTATTATCTGTCAGTATTCCTGATAACACCAGCAAGAGACTGTACAGACCATCTTTCTCAGAAGCATAATTACTCAACATGCTCATGCCATTCACCAGCAGTGAAACTAACTGAAACACCGGTAAATACTGTGAATAGAGCAGGTTCTTGTGACCAGATCAAATTAGAAGTGTAACTGAATATATAATAAAAAACGTACCTTTTTCGCATCGTTCAATATTGCCACGAGAGGAGTTTCAGATATAACATGGCCAAAAGCCCGATAAACCAGGCATCTGAAACAACAAGGAAGGTTGTTAGTCATCATCAAAGTGATATGATAATTTTTGAAACCATAGTACAGTGTAGATACGTGTAATATGCATTTTTTTAAGTTGAAAGAAGAACCGCATGTTACCTGGAGAGTGGTGACTCGGAGTTAACTATCAGAGATTCCAGTAGGGGCATCATGATAGAGAAGAATCTTTGCTTGTAAAGAGGGCGTACCATTGCATGAAACTCACGGTTCAAACAAAGATCTGAATCTCTCACAAGAATTTGAAATGCATCAGCGGCAGATTCTGCCACAGATGGAAAACACTCATTTGCTTCAAGACAGTTATCTGATGAATATTGCTTCAATGGCAAAGAACTTGTCTTGCCATATTCCAGTAAACACTTCAGGAGAAGCATAACTATGTCCTTAACTCTCTCATGGCCACGCATGAGTAGACCTTTCCCTATCCATGCCAGTCCAGTGATGGCATCATCAAAAGAGTCCAAGGAATCTTTGCTAAAAATCATATCTATTGCTTGCTCAAGGGTAAACACCTCTAAAGTCTCTGTTACACTGGACTTCGGATTCAACTTATTAACCATAGAACCATATGCCTGAGCTGCAATAACATTACCCTTGAGGAAGAAAACCCTAAATACATGTGCAATTGATCTCAGATTTGGAACTTCAGCTTGAGGATGAAGTCCTATAACCACTGATGCAAATAATGAGAGGACCAAATCATCCCTGTTGGACAATTTGTCTATTTCTTGAGTCAGTTTGAACTCTTCCAAGGGTATTGGGAAAGAAATTATCGATGAAAATGGACTATAAGCCTTATTAACAATTAAATTCTGGCTTTCCACCCCACAACATGCCACAGCAAGCTTCATCACTTTAATCATTGCATCAAGAAGTTCCTGGTGCCAAAAATTTCAAGTTATCACCTTTTTTCAGAGCTTTAACGAATATTAAACTAAATTGTGAACCTATTGTGGGGCTGGAAAAACAATATTTCAAGAAGAAAAACCAATTGCTTACTTTATTATTTACACAAACAGTGAGAGGCAGGCTCTCTATTGTCTTCCAGATGCTGTCAGCAAATCTTAACAACATTTCCTCAGATCCTTCATTATTCTGCATCCTGAGTTTGAACAGTGCTTAATGTGAAAAGGTGCATTGGGTTCATTATAAATAAATACAAATAAAGACCACATTAAGAATACCCTGGGAAGTATGTACCATGGGATCAGCTCGGTTGAATAACATTCCAAAAGCTGACTCGTAGTCTTGGCCAAAGTTATGTTACCTTCAACCTGTAATAGAAATAAAAGAGTTCAACATCAACAAACTGTTGGCAAGCTGGCAGTTATCTTCTTCATTTCTTAAGATTCGATATAAATGAGTATTTAAAATCCAATGAGGAAAAAGAATGAAGTGGAAGTGGTTTTACTTACGTAAATGGCAATCAGATTGGTAGTTATAACCTCTTCCAGTTTTAGGAGAATCTGTATCATATATTTTAGGCTACTTCTGCCAACATTGGACAAGGCTTCAAGTTTGAGTCTCAGTGGCAAATCAAACTCAGTAGATGACACCAAGTGAGCAAATTTCTCAACAACAACATTAATATATCTCATTTCTTTGTCTACTTCATCAAAATTTTCAATGAATCTGCCGATATCTACAAGCGCTTTCAATGCTAGCCTCCACAAGTATATCTTGTTGAAATCCTCCAGAACAACGGAAACCAATTTCCCCAAAATAACTTCGAAGGTTGAATTTGATATTAGTAAATTGCCTCCAGGCAGTAAAGCAAGCACCTGCAACCCTTTCACTGCATATGAATATCAACTGTAAGATTCAGACAGTAACATGGATTAATAATCAGAAGATAGAATGCAGAAAGCAAAGGTTTTAAGGCATAAGAGCAGGTAACAATCAGATCAGCAAGCAACCGAATGCAAATAGTAAAAGCTAACATAGAGCAGGTAACTTTATTTTACGCGCTTACCTGCAAGACATAAATAGTCATCATTGGCAGGTTCGTTCTTTTCCAAGAAAGAACTGAAAGTCTCACTCAAAGGCCCACAGACGCGTTGAAGTAAGCAGCACCAAGTGTCATTTTGGGAATTGATTCGACACACAAGATCCTCTTTACTGATTCTCAAATCTCTGCATGCCTTGAGAAGTTCGATGGACAGATAAAGAGACCCAAAGTTTGTTCTTCTGGAGAGAACACCATTTTCATTCGAATTGCACAAATGAGAAGATGTACTATCAAGTGAAAGCTCCAACCCCTCCATCAGCCGTGGTAAGAAACATTCAACAATTTTTTGGCAGGAAGAAACAGAAGATTGTGCTGAAACATACAAGATATGACCAATGACAAGTAGTCTCCGTTTGTTATGCAAGGGAATCTTGTCATAACTATTATAACTAGAAATGGTGTTGAAAACTGTGTTTATGTCTTCATCAGAAGTAATTAAACTGACGAATGGCCCATTGTCTAGAGATATCATCTTTTCCAACAGTCCAAAAGCTTCTGTAGGTATTTCATTCTCCATAGCATCTTGACTATCCAGAGAAAAAGATGAGGGCGGCTCTGGTCCTGTTGCATATATTGTGTCTTTTAAAGAAGACCAAATAGCTTTAGCATGTTTTCCCATTCTATCTGTGCCATATTTTGTTGCACAGTAATTCAAGGACTTCAAAGAATCAACCTGTTGAGATGAAAAAAAAACAGCCAAATCGTTCAACTCAACCCACATACTAAACCAACACTCTCATGCACCAAAAGAGCTTGCTTTTCCATAAAGATTAGAAAGACTAACCTTTGCTGATGGCAGGGATGAGGAGAGTTTCTCAAGCAACAAAGGAACAGCAAAGGGCTCAAAAAGTGGTGTCGCAGCAAATGCCATCTGATACAAATAAGAATAAAAGAAAACACAATATAATGTATAAAGATACAACATGGAGAAGCAAAATGTATAAGCCGCAGTAGCCACAAAATATTCAGAGTTCAATGAGGAGTCCACTTTATTATTCACAATCATCAATACATGCATCCTTCACATACCATTAGTGCCGTCGAAAGATCATCCTTTGTCACATCAGTGCCCTCAGTTGTTGGCTGCGAACACAAAAGAGAGAAGGACATGATAATGACTACCAAGGAAATCACATGAACAAAAATAACTACCATATTTTCTGAAGTAGAAGCACTATTAGTTGTCAAAGAGACTCCAATCACTCATTAAAGGATCTTGAAGAGCAACATGAAAGAAGTAGAACTTAGAAACTAAGTGTTATAAGCTTACATGTGTAAAATGAATGGGAAAGTAACAGCCCAAAATACTGAAGATGTCACTAATGTAGCTTGAAACTGGGCCAGAAGAATGTGGATATGCTTTCACAAGAAGTTCCACAATATGGAATGTTAGCATTAGGCACTGCGGATCCTTTTCCCCATCAATAGCTGCTAAGATTCCATAAACAAAATCATGGTCCTACACCACAATGAACGATGAAGTTAACATCAACATCCAAAAAGACAAATCTGATAAACACTATACAGAGAAAAAGAATAATAAGCATATAAATTTTAAGAATCAACAAATCATAGCAATTAGCAACAACTACCGCCCTTATCAAAATATAGCAACACACGTATCTAGCAACTGGTAGAAGAAATGCTCCTAAACAATATGAACGAATTTATATACATTAAGAACTCTAATATGCTACCTAGATGTAGTTATGATTATGCAGGTGTATGTGCAGCAAAAACAGCTTTAAGAAAATCCCTACGCATACATCAATCATTAAAAAGAAGCTCCAAGATTCTGGTGCCCACAATGACACCTAACAACCATAACTTAATATATGGCTGACATAACAATAATTTAAGCCAAAGTATTGAACTCCGAGCTCCCTTTGTTTAAGGAAAATGTTTTCTACCAGTCAAACATTAAGATAACAAGTCAACATTTCGCATAAGCCATTCAACATTCCAACTGGTCACTGAAAGGTTTTGTTTTCATCATGCAGAGAAGTACCCAATGAGCAATTGCAAATGCCAGGCACTGAAATATACAGACTAAGCACAGAAGATTGAGTACTTACTTGGACTGAAGTGACAACGTGACTATGGCGCTCCAACAGGCACTCCAAAAGTTCAAAGCAAAGCTGCATGAATTTAAAGTTAGCATCCAATACAATTTCATTATTAGTGTTTTAGTAGTGAAGTTATGGCGTGTAATACGCCACTAATGTGAAGAATTCACCTTCCTGTCATGTTGTGCCAAAGATTGCACCTGCAAATGTTGTACATAAGACCTGGCAACTGCCACAGCATCATCTGCACTGACCACGCCGAAACTTTTTCTTCTTATCAATGCCAAGCAGCCAACAACGGCACCACGTAAAGCTCGCCAATCTGCCTGATATACAGATCAATATTATGTCCATAATTTCAGGCAGGAAAATCAGTAAATCCAATGCAATGACAAAATAAATAAAAGGACAAAAAAACCAGCCTAAGAATATCACACGGAACATTTGTGATCCAACAAGTTGGTTCAGTGTCAAGGTTGATACGGAAACAGCTATAAAATCTGGAACCATCTTTGGCTTCATTGTGCCTAGCAAATTCCAGACTAGCGGACTGTAGTAACAGGAAATGCAGAACAGCGCACAAAAGAAAGCTATTCATCATGCATGCGTCTCTTTTTCTGAAGCACATGTAAGGCATTCTGAGAACTATTACGACACCACATCAACTTTTGTTATCATTTTACAGTCTAGCCTAAACTTTAGATGAGGCATGAGCCTTTTCTCCCAGGATCTACATAAAGCACCGGTATAGTGACTCTTAACATTGAAGGGAAAAACTAACACCATAAATGAGGGGCATTTCCTGAGAACTACCCTAACACAAGAAACAGAAATAAGGATCTGCTAACACACAGATATTTCTTCATAGTAAAACAATTTTTTTTTTTTTTTTTTTTTTTTGTAAATGTTTAAACCCTGGGGTTTTCTTTAGTCTTGCAACATAACCTCAGCAAAAATTTCAGGAGTGATGAAATATAAGGTAAGGATCCATTCAGAAGCAGCAAAAGTTAATACTGTCATGAAATATGGCAAATCAAATCAGGCTAGAAGGTAAACGTTTGAATTTCATCGGGATGCCCAGTAACCTAACCCCTCAAAAAAGACCCAGCATACAGTCCAGAAGTTTTGGTTTGTGCCTCATATGCTTTGACACGAGCTATGCATTGATACTATCCTGTGACTTATATGAGTATATCATGACTAACACTGCCATACTCACCAGTCTATCCGTGAAAAAGGTTATCAAGCTGTGCACTGTAGAATTTTCCAGTGGCTTCGAGTGTAGCTGCATAAGGGTCTCTCCTAGCAGAAGAATACCTGTGCAATGGAACATGATTGATTCTAAATAAGTACAATTTGAAATCAAACAATCATCGAGACGTTAAACTAGAAGCATGTCGCCAGCATATAAATGTAGTAAGCTACATTTGGAACAGCACTGTTAAGGGAGAAAAAAAGGAAATTACCTCTTGCACGAATTACGTTGTCGGCGGTGGTCAAGTACATGTCCATGTCCCTAACCTACTTCCAAACAGATAGAAACATAAATAAGAGGCCAATAAAAAGAGAGCTAGAGGTATTTCCAAATCATGGGGAGTAAATAGAATTTACTCACCAATAACGCTATTGTCACTACATCATTCTTCAAGAGAGAAATAATCGCATCCAAGCTTGCACCCTGCATTCATATAGTCGAACCACTGAGGTCTTAACAAACAATTTCGGGGCAGGAAGCAATCAAGTTAAATTAAATAGGGAATCCCCATGTTTCAAGCCCGCAATCCTATTCAATTTTTGGCAAACGGGAAGAATAATGCACCCAATCAACTCAAAGTTTGTTACTTAAACAGAATTACGAACTCAAACGGAAAGGACATTGCTTTGCCTTCTCCAGAAACTAACAGGGTCATAATCAATCATAAACTAGACAAAATTGGTTTCAAACAACTGAACTGAACTGAACATTCACAGCTTTAGCTTCGAACCAGGTATTATCAACCAAATCAACAGAGAGAGAACATTCTGAGTAATGCGGGAGTACTAAGGTTCTACTGAATTCGAAAAAACTAGACTTCTCGTGGGTTTACCTGCTGAGCAGAGGAACGCGACACGTCGACATACGATTCAATATGCCGATTGAACTGACTCGCTTCAGCCATGATTGAAGAGCACAGAAAGGTTGGGGTTTTATGACGTTGGCAAGCCAGAGAGAGGGTTTTAGCGAGTTACAGTTGCCGAGGAGAGTTCCGAGCCGGTGGTTAAACAAGGAGCCTGATATATAAAGTATAACCTAAGTAACACCCCAATATTTTATGCTCCGTTTGGCAACGAAGGTGCAAATTTGAGGAGTGTGCAAATTGAGGTGCAAATGGTTGGGGGAGCAAATTGTAGGAGGGTGCAAATTGGAGCGTAAATTCATGTTTGGGAGAAAAAGTAAGGGGGTGTAAATAAGAATGTGAGATATATTATATTAATTATAATATTCTATTAAAAATTAATTTTAATATTTTAAAAACTAAATTCATTTTCTTTATAATTTCCCTTCTCCCTCACGTGGGTGCCAGCCCATCATACCTTCTCTCTCCCTTTCTCTCCCCATAGGGTCTTGTCCTTAGCTTAAAAAAAGAAAAGAAAAAGTAAAAATAAGAGTTGCTTGTTTCTTCTTGCACCCAGATTTGGGGGGTGAGCTGGAATAGTGCTTTTGCACCCACTTTACAAACCTCTGCTCCTGTTCAAAAACATCCAAACGGGTGCATCTTCCTCGATAAAACCATTTGCACCCAAAAATTTGCTCCCCCCAGCTTTTGCTCCTCTTCCCAAACGGAGCGAATATTTTAAAGATTCGCTATCTTTATGCTCCGTTTGGCAACGAAGGTGCAAATTTGAGGAGTGTGCAAATTGAGGTGCAAATGGTTGGGGGAGCAAATTGTAGGAGGGTGCAAATTGGAGCGTAAATTCATGTTTGGGAGAAAAAGTAAGGGGGTGTAAATAAGAATGTGAGATATATTATATTAATTATAATATTCTATTAAAAATTAATTTTAATATTTTAAAAACTAAATTCATTTTCTTTATAATTTCCCTTCTCCCTCACGTGGGTGCCAGCCCATCATACCTTCTCTCTCCCTTTCTCTCCCCATAGGGTCTTGTCCTTAGCTTAAAAAAAGAAAAGAAAAAGTAAAAATAAGAGTTGCTTGTTTCTTCTTGCACCCAGATTTGGGGGGTGAGCTGGAATAGTGCTTTTGCACCCACTTTACAAACCTCTGCTCCTGTTCAAAAACATCCAAACGGGTGCATCTTCCTCGATAAAACCATTTGCACCCAAAAATTTGCTCCCCCCAGCTTTTGCTCCTCTTCCCAAACGGAGCGTTAGTTAAATAAGAATAGTGCAATCATATATCCCTCAACTCTATTGTATTTGCGTTTCAGTTTACTCTCAAGTGCATCTCAATCTCAAGTGCATTTGGTTAAAATTTACAGAATATTCCGTTTTCTAAATTTTGGAATTGGTCCTTCTACTCTTTGTTATTGTAAATTTTTTTTTGAACTTATGAAAAATATCATTATTTTATTATTTAGTTGGAATAATCTTTTGAAGACTATGTTTTATGCCAAACCAATTTTTGAATAAGAAATTTAGAATCAATTATCATTATAATTATTTTCAATAATCATTAAGTGTTCTAATAAGTAATAACTAAATTATTCCCTTAAAAATATATTCTATGAATTCTGTCTTGATATAAATAATCTGAGTATGTTATATATAGTTCTCTTACATCATGCTGATCTCGTCTAATTTTCTATATTAAATCTCCAGATAATTATCTAATATTATGTAGATGTTTCATATTAGTTAAATTTTCTAATTGTAATTCTCCTTCTATAGTCATATTTTCTTTTCTAGATTTATTACTGAATGTTGTAGATTTTATAGTTTACATAGATCTTTTTTGGTCTTGACGTATTGATGGTCGATTAAATTCTATTTTAACTATTTTTAGTGATGTTTCTAATTGTATTAGGAGTTTAAATCTTCTAATATTAATTTTATATATTTATTATTATATTCTAGTATATTTATTATTTTTTCTTGATATTCATATACTATTTTTACTAATTTATCTATTTTATTGAAAAATTTTAATTAGTCATTCTAGTAATACTATATTTAGAAACTTTTCTAATTTTATATTAGATAATACTTGTTGACTTTAATGGTACCCAACGCCTTATTGAAACTTCAGTGGTGTGTCTGCTCCAATTATCAAATTTAAGTGGTACCCGAGTCATTTTACCTGTCTTACAACCGCAACACTCAAATCTTTTTGAATTTTAGTACTATATACAACTCAACTCAAATGGTTTTGTTTTTCTCCTAAAAGATAGTTAGAACCCTCAACCCAAAAATGCTCAAAACAACACTTAGAGAAGTCACATACAAAACTAAAAGGATGCCAACTTTAAAGAGGACAACAGAGCTTTATATGTCACTTTATGGCAACCTAGTTGGCAGTTAGCGAAATAACCCTAAAATCATAAAAAGAGGATACGACCCCAAAAATTTACGACACTCTCGAATTAGGGGACCTCCCAACTAATCTTTCATCGAATTACGGTCTAGTTGTCGAATCACCACTTCATAATCACGAAAATAATATTGGGCAAACTCCTTCAGACCGGTAACGAAGTGGCTTCTCTAGCAGAAAGCACCTCTGCGAGATAAGGATCATAACTCCCTGGTGCTAAGATTAAGGCCAATAGAACTTGCTCGTATGTCCCTCACATGACAAGGCCAAACGAGCACTTGTTTTGTTAAGATGAAATTTGTCTGAAAGAAAAGGTCCTAATAGTGTTTTCCTCTGTAGAGCCCTAGTTATGAAGCTTTTAGTTCATGGAGTCTTTGAATAAGATAGAATACCATAGTATGGACCTAATCTGCCTCCTGCAATTAAGTTTCCTTAGCGCAATGTAGTCAAAATCATGTTTTAAAACTTAAAAACTTATGATATTACGTTTCTAGGTCGCTAAAATGCTTCTACAAAAAAGCTATGTTTTTCTAACTTATGTAGTTAAAAACTCCGCTTTAAAACTTAAAAACTTACGATTTTACGCTTCTAGATCACCAAAACGTTTCTACGTAGAAACTCGTTTCTTACTACATTGCCCAAGCGATTACAATATTTATGAGTGTAGAGAATTTTTTTAGTGAGACTTTCCAAGGTATACACATCTATGCCAAGGGTCTCGTATTGGTGGTTGATAACACTCAAATTATAGTTTAGGGTGCGCCTATGGTTACATGCATGTCACCATAACATGCATTTTCGGTCGACCTATTCCTAACCGTGGTCGGCCGAATACACTAATGTATGCAATATGATGACTTATCACGGTCGACCTTTAAAATGTAGTGGTCGACCGTTTTGTGTTAAGTTGTGACATTACCGATCGACCACAATAAAACATGGGTCGCCCTTTTCATTGTAGTCCGAAGCAAACTGGTCGGCCGTAAAAGTAATGAGGTCGACCACTTGATTGTGGTCATTACCAAAATGGTCGACCATTTACAGAAAGAGGCCGACCAGACAAATGAGAAAAGTGTTCTATCCATTTATCCATCCCTTTTTTACGTGAAACGAAGATCAAGTGTTGGTCTCGAGGTCGACCAGATACAGTAAGAGGCCGATTGAATTAAGGAAATTTAGCCTATGACCTTCGAATTTTTTTGCATATGTATGTCGATGTGGGTGGTTCGTTTATCGTTCAAATTACGTTTGATAGTCATTGGAATAAGTCTTATATCATGATAGCAAGGACCCATAACTTCTTAACATAACAACGTAACACACTTCATAATTGTTCACATAAAACACACTTCATGAAATCGAAAACCTCATAACAACAAAAAAACACAAGCTAAACTCATGGAGTTCCTACACCTCTCCACTATCTGAAACAACAAATTAGGTCGACCTAATCCTATATTAAGTCGACCGAAAAGTGCATGTTACGGTGACATGCATGTCACCGTAGCAAAGTCCTATAGTTTATCACTCCCATATTGGATACATTTTCCCCTTCTATCAATGCATCTATAGGAGTATTTACCTAAATTCATATAAATATCATATCTATTTAAAATGAGCTATTATTAGACCTAGGTTCTGTTTTTATATATTTTTAATTTTTATGCATTTTTAGTACATTTCTACGTTTTTCTAGGGAAAATAAAACCTAAGATGATGTGGATCAACACTTGCATAATTATGGAGGATCAATGGAGCAATTCTAGGAAGATTAAGGAGTTTTTCACCTATTAGACGGAGCCTAAAGGACGAGAAGCCAACTAGACTCTTAACTGAAGCCCATGAGGAACACAGTGGAGGAAACTCAACATCAACTGGAGAGGAGAGGGATTTGACATCGACTTGAAGACGGGTCTAACCGTCGCAATCCCCAGTCTCTCAGCTTAAGCCCAAATCACCAAGAGACTTTGCTTGGCCCACAAGTAACTCATCCCAAGTAGAAAAGAGATGATGGTGGGTATCATCGTCTGGGCGCCGCTCGATGTCCAAGCCCAAGGAAGCTTCTAAAAGCCCTTGCTTCGTTCCCAACTCAAAGAGTTCGTGTTCTAGTGGAGGAAGGACACCTTAACTGACTTAGAAGAGGAAAACCTTACGGTTCCTTTCATATAAATATAGAGCTAGGATTTAATTTATGTACACAACGAAACTTCATTATATTCTTCTGTAAACACTATGTTTTAGTGGAGAGCTTAGCATCCATAGGAGGAAGTCACGGTCAAGGAGTTGTCGTCATCATCGATGGTGGTACCCTCCTTCTCTTCTATGTATAGCTACTTAGAATTGATTATGTAGTAATATGAACTCGTCATAATATGACTATTTCATTCCATGATTTCGTGTTATGCTTGTCTATGGTTGCTTGAGTATTTCGATATTTATGTCATTCCATTAAAGTTTATATTTCATGTATATTATTCCATTGTATGCTACTATATGAATTGTATAAAATATCATCTAGGATTTTATGAAACTACTTTCTTGTGATATTCCATTGCCCTATGCTTGTATGGGAGGATCGATCACCCATCCATTTCAAGTATAGGATCGATGCTTGATTATTAATTCACCAA